GAGGATATACTTAGTATTAGTAATAGTATTATATACTTACCTAGGGGGTTTAGATTTCTATAGTTATTAGAGCTACCTATTTTTCGGGTAAAAACTAGGCTACCTATTTTTTAGGCGAAAATATACTAGTCTTCTATTAGTTAGATAGACCCCGCTTCTTATAATAAAGAAATTTCTTCTATTATTATAGTCGCTTCTTCTTCTTCTCTATTTTATATTTCGTTCTAGATTATTAGTATTATACTAACCTAGCGAATTGCTTACTCTAGTTCTATATCTAGTTTATCTTTATTAAGTACTTTAGTAAAGTCTATAATCTAGATTCTTAGTGGTTCTATAGGGTAGTTTATAAAGTTAAGATTCTTATTAAAGGTAGTATCCTAAATATACTTATAGCTATTTATATATAGGAACTAGACCTTCTAGATATTACTTATACAAAATCCTATAAGATACCTAATCTCTACTTAGTTATATATTTTATCTAATAAAGGAATTCCTTAGATCCTAATATAGGTATAATACCTATAAACCTTTAGATTTAATAGGTTAATTAGAATAAAGGTACCTATTCCTTATTAGTAGAATTCTTACTAAGGTATGATCTACTTTCCTAAGTTTAACTTTATTAGTAATCTATTAATAATATAGATAGTAGCTTATACTACTTCTAGCTAGAGGTTCTTTAGAAGCTTCGATTCTTAGAGAAGTAACTATACTCTAGTAATAATTACCCCCCTAGATTGCTTAGCGAAACCGTTTTATTCTAGTATACCGACTATAGTCTATTAGGTAATGATCCTATTTTCTTTTATAAAGTTTATTATCTTTTAATCAATTAATCCTTTATTATTAGAATAGAAAATATAAATTAGTAAATTAAACCACATTTACATTTATAAGATAAACTTAATAATTGCCTATTAGTAACCGCTCTTCTTCTTATATATTAAGGCCTAGTAGTATTAGATACTATTAATATAGAAGTAAGAGATCTACTTATTATTATTATATACTTTAGGGAGTATAATAAGATCGAAATATATCTAACTAAGTGGTCTAAAATTTGTGCCTTAAATATAATAAGAGACTTACTTAGGTATTCTACTAAGCTAGTATATCTTATATAACTCTAGGTTATTTATAGCGCTCTTAGTATTTATATATAAGGAGGGTTTTATAATCTAAATACCCTCGACTATTTTAGTAAGCTATTCTATATACTTACTAAATATATAGCTAAGTCGCTAGTACTATCTCTCTACTATTACTTTTAAGATAAGTAGCTGTACTAAATATTAAGTTATATTAAAAGAGGTTATTATAAATACTACTAGAAATATAAAGTTAGTATATAGGAGTATAAAGAAGTTCCTAATCTCTTCTATTTTTATAAAGGTCTAGCCTATATCTTTATAGATAATGGTTAGATTATTGAAATCTGCTTTATACCCCCTCTATTTAATTAGCGCTATTAAGATAAGATTATAGTAGAAGCTAAGAGAGTACTTAATATTATTTAATATAAGATTGATAGGTCGGCTATAATAGCTAATAGTTTTAATCTAGACTTTACCGGTACTATAGACTTTAGTAAATATATTACTAACCTTTAGCTCTCCTATCTTTTTATAGAATTTAATAAAGAGGCCTCGGTTATTTATAATATATTAGCTAGTTACTAAATTAATTAGCTAATAATCCTATAGGGTAGATTATAAGTTTATTAGGAAAGTAGTATCTTCGATAGCTATTAAGTAGTCTTTATTATTTAGATCTACTTCTATAAAGTATACTTAATCTATATCTTCCTCTTTTACTAGTTTAGCTAGAAGTTAGTTTATATAGTCCTTTACTTTTCTAGATAACTTATTGACCTTTCCTTATATATTCTTTTAAATATTAGGATTAGGTTTCTAACTAGGTAGGTATACTGCCTTAACTAGGTATAGATATATACTAAAGTAGTGGTTTTCTCTATATATATAAGCTAGGAGAGATATTAATATCTTCTTTCCCTTTATAGTTATAGTAGTTATTATAGTTATAGTCGCTGGTTTTTTAGCTTCCCCCTAACCGCTAAGAGTTATAAAAGTAGCCTATAATACCTTTAGCTTTAATAACTTCTTCTAGTTAAAGAGCGACCATTCTAAATAGTATATATTTACTATACTAGTAAATATATATTTTCTATTTTATTCGAAAACCTTCTGGTACTAATAGTAATAGAATTAAGGTTTAATAGAATTGAGTGCTATTAAGAAATTATAGATTACATTTTAGTTATTAGTTATAAAGCTTACTTTTACAGCTATATATTCTATATAGAGATTCTCTAATTTTATTAACCAGCTGTTAATTACTATATCTTTAATTAGTATTATCACTATAACTATCCACTATCTCCTAATAATCTAGACCCACTTTATATCTATATAAGAGAAATATGATTATAGGGTAGCTAGTAGCTTACTAGTCTCCTATACTTCGACTATTAGATTCTAGATCTTAATAGTGAGTATATTCCTTATTCTCTCTAAGACCTTATTAAGTACTAGTTTGATCGTCTTATACTTAGATAGATTATTATCGTAATCTTTCTAATTATTATTATAGTTGAGTTAGCCGTTTATTATTAATCGACTTATTATATTATAATTGTACTTTTTATTATTTTTATTTAGTTAAATTAGCTTTATAGGTAGGGTAGGCCACTTTTCTTTATTGATATTAGGATTAATATAATCCTAAACGTTAAGATTTTCGGTAATTATCTCTACCTATATAAACTAGGTTCGCTATTAGGTTAAGTTCCTTAGAATAATACGTACTCTAGGTATACTTAAGACCTATTCGGTGATCCCGCTAGGATTGTTGTAAAGGAATGATATCTCGTTTTCCACAGCTTTCTTATATAAGTTAGTAGAGGATAGACAGGAAGTGCTAGGTAAGCAAAAGTACTTCTATGCTTAAGGGTACGGTAGCTTATAGAGTAGACCACGGTAGTATTTAATTGCGATTAATATACTAGTGAACCGGGCTTATAACTATTGAATAAAAGAGAGGCTGTTTTATATGGTACGAGCAGTAGGATACTGGACTAAAGGGTAAAATGAGTGTAATTGTGAAAAGGAGGGTTCTCCTCCGAGATCTATCTTGGTGTATGTTTATATAATCGGTACACGTGGCTGCTGACTACTAATATACCACCAGATGTAAGGAATGTATAGAAGTGCGTTATTTCTGGTCGACAATATATTAACGCTATTGACTATATTATCTAATACCTATATTAGACTAGGTTTTAGGCCATTAAATATAGGATTAGAAGAAATAACCTAATAAGCGAGACGTCGATAATATAACTAGTAGCTAAATCAATGGTTTTTACTAGCGATATATCGTTTAGCGATAATAAAGACCGAAAAAGTTCAGAAGGATATATCTACAAACTTTATAGTGGTCTAATCGACTAGAAAGCGTCTAAATAAAAGATAGTTACTACTTTAACTACTGAAGCTAAGCTTCTAGTACTTACTAAAGCTAGAAAAACAGTCTAATAGTAGCGCTAAGTCCTCTATATACTTAGATTTAAACCATTATATATACTCTCGATTGTATATAATAACTAATAGACCGTTAATCTATTAATAAAGGAAGGAGCGTCAATATATATAAAGCTTTATTATATAGATATCAATAGATACTGGTTAAAACAGGAAGTCAACGCCGGATAGGTTAACGTGGATTAGATTCTAACCGCGGAGATACCCGCTAATAGTCTGACGAAAGCGTTACCCTGCTAGAAATAAGAACGGTTTAGGGAATTGCTTGGAATATCTGAGATTGGTCATCTAATTAGTTATAAAAACAGACGTTAATTAATTGAGATAGCTCTTAAAGCTCTAAATTGTGATTGCTTCAAAAGCTGGGGGGTATGTCAGAATCTAGGATAAATACTGTTATTTTTCATTCCTAATATAGTTGGGTCACGTGACTGACTAGGCTGGTATTTCTGCAGAAAAACCAACTTAGGTAGTTTTTCGCCCGAAAAACCAGTCCCGCAGTTTTTCGCCCGAAAAACATCCTTTCATTTTGTTTTGTTTGTTTTGATTACTAAGTTGTCCACAAGATTGTCATGTTTTAGGACTATTGTCATTTTTAGAGAGTTAGAGAATTTATTGAGATTTTTCTGCCACATATACAATCGCCTTACCACCGTTTTTCCGTCATCTTCTGATGTATAACCTCCCAATTAGATCGAACTGCTTGCAGGCAGCAAAAATGGCCCCAAGGCGTGATTACATAGTATGAGCAGGGAAGCCCTAAAGGCTATAAATAGACACAACATATCTTGCTTTTTTTATGATATTAGTTAGGGCTTTGAAATCAAAATGGACAAAGAATCGACTACTTGTATCGGACGCTCAAGATGACTGCTAGTACTGGACAAAGAAACTCCTCTTTCAACGCTTATTGTACTAACCAAGCTGTGCTATGAACTATTATACGATGTAAGGATATTTTGGTAATATAGAGTGTTCATTGAAAATCTGTTCTCATCATAGTAGTCGACCATATGGCCTTGACCAGTTGGCTTTCATTGTTTTCTTTTCGACTCTTTATCGTCGAGACCATGGCTCACAAAATTTCGAAGAAATGAAGTGTTTATTGTCTCAGTCTTTGAATAAATGTTACTATTTCTGATCGAAAATCCGAACTTGAAACATAGAACATCCTCATAGTTTAAATGTAGCCCTTTGATTTCCACGATTCTTTCGAGTTCGTCTCTTTCTCTATTGTCTATTGATGGCAGTTCAAAGAAAGCCAGTTCAAAGCACAGAATATATAAGTTCTTGTAATGTCCATCAAGTTTGCCTTGATTAACGAAGCTTGACACCGAGAAAGTACTAATGCCCCTTCAAGGTCTTGGACTGATATCACCTTTTTTACAGCAATCTTCATACCAATCCAAGGTTGGAATTTCTAACCTCTCTCAAATGCAATCTCCCACTCTCAAATACGGCAGTCGACAAGCCCTTGGCCGGCTACTACAGCAATGGATCGAAAGCCCAGAATCTGACCCGCCGGGGGAAACATGTCCGATTCTGCCTTCTAAACTAAAATTCAAAGATCTCAAGAAGTGCAAGAAACTTGAAATAGATATACAGATGCATCCTTATCTTCCCATCCAGATTGAATACGAATTTGAACAACATGGAATAATGGGACCAACCGGCGGGGCGTGGGACATGGTCTCCATAGAAGAACCTGACGCTCCACGAGACCCTGAATACCCGCACGTTCATACCTGGAAAGGACAAATTGCGCCTGGGGTACTAATGATTGAGGAAATAAAGAAAATACCTGGTTTCTTCATGTCGGAAGTCTGCCAGGCCATTTACCAGAACTACTTCCCGATTGATAGCTTGAAGTATGTCTATATGATCGACGTTTGCAATAAAGACACTCGTTCGTTTGTTATGGATGAGCTCTATACCGAAGCCAATGGCTATACTTGGGAAAAAGATACGATTAATTGCATACCTGGAACCCCGGAATTCGAGGCGCTGCTAGGTACAAAACTTGGACGAACTGTGGCACATTTGGTTTTGGGGGCCTTCAAACGTGGAACTCGTCGGATTTCACAAATTAAGGTCTTTGATAACTTTGAAGCTTTGCAGTTGGAGTTTTCCATTGTTCCGACTGATGCCCCGGCTCAAAGCTCTTCGACTCGTAGTACAAGGTCAAAAACGCGCCGCGAGCAAAATATCGAATCGAGGAAGCGCAAAAGGGACTCGAGTGAAGAGCCTGCGAAGAAGAGACTGAAGCGCGGAAAGTGAAGAGGCGATTTTTCTTATGAGTTGGATGTTTACTATTGGGCCATAGATTCTTGTTTGTCTTTGTTCATCAGGTCACTTTATATATCTATGCTTTTGTAACGCTGTGTAACTATTCTAAATATGATTCAACTGTTCTTCATATGGCAATGTAACCATCAGCTTACATGTTAGTTCTTCTTTTAGGGTCATCTGATTATCTTGGGCAGCCCCCTTCCCCTTTCAGATCCAAACTTCCCAATTTCAAACAACAACTCATCAATTTACCAGGTCTAGGACAGCCACGTAGTATTCTTTTATTCTCCTTCTAATTCCCATTTCTCTGCTGATCACAGGGTAGCTGATTGGTCTAATATTGAGTCTTTGTTCCGCCGAGTCGGCGGATTTACCGCACTATACTCAAAGCTCCTTCCATCGAGACCCAACAGAATCTTTTTCTTTTGAAGACTAGGCTCTTGGATCACAGTATCTTATGAGCCCAATATCTTCCGACCGAATCAAAACAATCCATGCATCTTCGCCCCCCATGGCTTCCTTGTCGTTGGGGCTTGGGATTGCAGTGACCAAATCCTGTAAGTAGCCAATGAGAGATCCCTGAAGTTGACAAACATAATGTCTGACGCACTTAATTTAGTTGGCATTGCTATATGGACTGCCATCATTACTCTATTCCGTGGCCAAAAAGGGGGCGGTACAGCCTACAAGCATATTGCCCTGTCTTTTACGCGCACCCTCTTTCGAAATGCATCCATGGAGCAGCTTCAGTGAGTTGAGATGTTATCCTAGGATAGAAACATATCTTCGAAGTCCCTGGCCTGACAAAGAAACAATTCTCACAACGCCTTGCAGGCTTATTTTCCCCCCCGCTCTCGCTCAGAAAAGTTATGAAGCCCACATGAGACAACAAAATGCCTCCCCGAACATACTCGCTCTCCCCGAAGGTACAATGGCATTTCAGCTGGGTAACGTTGCTTCCGAGAAGTTGATTATCTACTTTCCCGGTGGCGGCTACTGCCTCCCCGCACTACCGAGTCACTTCAGCTATCTCGAAGCTCTCTTCGCGGATATAAGACAACACGGAAAAAGCATCGGTGTGCTATTCCTTGCTTATGAGCTTGCCCCCGAAGCCCGATGGCCTCGGCAATTGCAACAGGCCGTTATCGTGCTACAGTACGCCATCCAGACACTGGGAAAACGACCGTCAAGCATTATTCTTCAGGGTGACTCTGCGGGCGCTCATCTTGCACTTGCACTGCTATCACATCTCACTCACCCGCATCCTCAAGAGATCGTGCCAAGATTTTCGGTTGATGAGCCCCTCGGAGGAGCGATGTTGTTGTCCCCTTGGGTTGACTTCAGAACTGATCATCCGAGCTCCAGTGAAAACGCGGATAAAGACGTCATGACGGCTGAGACTTTGAACAGCTGGGCACGGATATTCCTGGGCCAGACTGTCGAAGATGAGTACAACTGCCCCGCCAAAGCCCCAGCGGGTTGGTGGAGAGATCTTCCTGTTTCAAAAATCTTTGTTGGCGCTGGAGGAGATGAAGTCCTGTTGGATCCGATTAGGCAGACGGCAGAGAAGATGAAGGTGAGGCAGTTTTCACAATCTTTGTATTCTATCTAACAACTTGTCATTCCAGGCCGAACTCCCCGACGTGAGCATAAGTATTGTGCCTGGAGAATTCCACGTTGAGTCGATCACGGGCTTCGCTTTGAAGATACCCCCTGGATTTCAGTTCAAGGCGATGGCGTCATGGCTGTACCAGACCTTTTTTCAAGTGAATTGCGAAAGGGGATGAAGATGAAGACAGTAAGATGCATTTCCTGCATCTCACGATTGTAGGCGAGTAGGCGGTCAGACCGCGCCAACTCAATCAGGGTTGGGGGCTTTGTTCGACGTGTCGCCACCCGATTTTCCCAGACCTTGACTGCATAACTTGTGTGAGATAATTTCAATTCATATTCTTACCACTGGTGTTTTACGTGAATAGTCAGACCCTTTCCCTTCAGATGCACTCGATCCACGATCCACAGGCGCGGCCCGAGAGACCCGGGGATCAGCCTCGGAAGAAGATCCGAAAAGGGACCCGCAGTTGCTGGCAATGTACAAGAACCCCTTGATACGGATGATTTATCCCTAACGGTTGTTTTCTGTGATAGGCAAACATCGCAAAGTTCGCTGTATTTTTGCGTCTGATAGCGACCAGAGCTGCAAAGAATGTCTCGCCCGGGGACTTCCATGTCGCAGCCAGGAATTGCCGGAGCCTGAGAATCCCCGCGAATCGGACCGCACATATCTGAACGAGCGGATGGCTCGGGTGGAGAACCTGTTGGAGAAGCTTCTGATACGAGTCGACGGTGGCAACAGTCAACAGGGGGACTTGAAATCACCTATAGATTCAGCCGGAACCAGCCCCGAATCGAGTCCCCCGACCGTGACACCAGCTCCGGACAATGCTCCAGTCTTGTCTCTTTTTGACAACGAAGCGGTTCGTGCGATAACTCATATCGGTCTTCAATTCCCGGTAGCTCGCGCTTACTAGTGAATAGATAGGTTTCAAACGAACCGACACCGCTGAGTCCGATTTTACGCCATATGGCACAATTAATCGGGACTGGGGGAGACTGCGCCGCGATCTGACAGCCTTGATACCCTCTCAAAAGACATTGAAAATTATATCGGAGGCTAGCAGTAGCTGGTGGCTTATGCGCGTGCAGTTATTCGGAGACTACGATGAATCATTGCTTTCGTCCTCGGAGCAACAGCTTTCAAATAGCCACCCAGCTATGGTTGCTAAGGCCGTCTTGTGGATTGCACTGTGTCTCCAACAACTCCCTTCGGGGTTTAATTTGTCCTCTCTCGATCTGCCCTGCCTCCCATGGGTCCTGGTTGATGAATGCATCACCCGTGTTTCCACGCTCGTTTGCTCCGATGACTCTATTGTCAGTTGTATTGACGGGCTTGAGTGCTTAGTCCTACAGGGGTTAATCTTTAGCAATGACGGAAAGCTACGAAGTGCGTGGCTTTCTTATCGTCGAGCTGTAAACATCGCTCAGCTCATCGGGTTCCACCGTGCTGAACCAGCTCCCAATCAGAGTGTCGAGTTTCAACACCGGGCTACGTTCATCTGGAGACACATCCTTATGGTTGACAGGCATTTCTCCCTGATCCTTGGGGTACACGGCGCTATATCCAATACGGCAATAGATCTATATCAATCCAACCCAAGAGACTCCCATGATTTACCCGTTCACAATGAATCCGTTCTGAACCCGCTTGCTCGGATAGCTGGCTCAATCATTGAGCGCAATCAGACCTTCACCGAAGTCACTCCGGCTATGCTGCAGATGACACAGAGCATCGATATGAAACTTCAAGCGTTCGATCCCCCTCCTTTGGCGTCACCCGACAATCTTCCGTCAGGCAAGTGTACCGAGCGGTCTTCTTGTTTCCTCGGGCTTCACTATCGATTATGGTACTACCAGCTCATGGCTTGGTTACATCTGCCTCTTTTACTAGCGTCAGGTACTGACAACTCCTATGAGTATAATCGCCAGACCTGTCTCCATGCCTGCCGCAGCATCATCGCTTGTTATGTCAATATCCGACGCACCACTGAAAACGGGTTTGACTCGAAGATTCTTGATTTCCAAGCCTTCACTACGGCGATGACAATTATCGTCAATGCCCTCGGGCCATTTGGCCCCCAGGATTTAACCAAAGGAGATTACTTCGCTCTCGACCGGGTTGTGGCTGTTCTAGAACAACTATCGAATACTGTTCCTCCGGACAAGATCGCAACTCGAGCAGTGCACGTTCTGAAAATTATCAAGGCAATAGGAATGGGAACTGAACCCCCGCCACTGGACGAATCAGAAGGGCACCAATACGAGAATGGACGGCCTACTCGCATCAAGCTCGATATTCCCTATTTCGGCACAATATACCTCGAACGTCGTTCCATGAGCGCTCAATCATCTAGACATATTGCGATTGCTGTTAAACCGCCGCCAATTTTGCCCAATACCGCGCCTGGGCAATACTACCCATCATCTTCATGGATGGACACGATGCCGGACCCCGGTTATCCAAATGGAAATGTTGTGGGAACAGCCCAATGGGCGGATCCTAACTTGAGCTTTGATCCGCCTACCGAGTTTTGGGCTCTTAACTCTGACTTCACGTTTCAGGCTCCGTTTTTGGCTGATTATGATGTTAATTGGGATTATTTGGATATGGGATTATGACGAACGCGCGTAAGTCGAGCGGATTGTGCCGAATGCAAGTCTTGTGTTCTTTTTCCTCACTTTGGTGTTTTGACAGGCCACATTTTGTGTTGTTCCTATAGAAAGAAGTATTCTTGGAATCATTCGATGTGCCTTGGACGGTCCTGTTTTTAATAGATATGTTGGTCTGCCAGCAACCAGGTCACTTTGATTCGCCCCTCAATTATTCAGTTATAGTCAATAGTTTATCTCTGTGTTGGAGAAAGAGCAGTGCGCCGAGCCAATGTTGGTGTTCATTACTAGGTGAGCACCGTTCACAAGCGATATAAAGTTCACTTACACCCGAGGAATCATCTTCATTCTACTCTTGATCGAATGTCGGGTAGGAATCCTTTAGAAGATATGAGAGGAAAGTTATTGAGTTTAAAGAACGGGCAGTTACCTGGAGACCGACATAGAGAAATGTCATTGAGGTTTTGACAGCCCAAAATGACATCCAGGTATAATAGATGAAATGAGGGCGAGCTGTTGCTGATGAATTTCGACACGGAAGGAGAGGACGCGGTTTGGCAGCCAAGGAAATAATGCTAGCCTAACTTATTGGAAGAAGAGGGAAGCAAGAGTGTTACCTATGAAGATTCGTGTCTATTCAACCTCTATGACCATAATTCTAGGCGCAGTGACTGAAACCATGAAGCCTGAGAGACAAACGGCGAAAGGATACTGTCAATACAAAGGGGCCAGTCGTCATCCCATCGCAAAGCACAGACAGCTAAGCAATATTCCCAATACCCTGGATACCATCCGGATTTTTCCCAATCAATTATCACGAGGCGTGAACCTTCTTGGTCATGACTTTTCTCGCGGAGGATGATATTTTTCCTTTGCAAATCACCGTGGGTGAATGTCGCTGTATGGCCTTTAAAAATAAAAGGGAAGCATCTTCGAAGATATTCCGCTCTGTAGAGTGGGCCCCCGTTGTAGGTATACTTTCGTAACATTGCTTCGTTAAGGTCTTCTTCGGAGTCGAAAGGACCATTTACCAATGGATCTGGCTCATGTGTCCAAAATATCTCATCTAGAAGTCGTCTTTGGTCGAAACTGCCAAAGTACTTTGGGGATGGAAGCTGGCGTAAGTCGTCAAAGTAACTCCGAAGGTCTTTTAGTATTTCTTCTTTCTCCGGTATTGTAAGTTGCGGCCATGCTGAAAGAAGTGTTTGACCGAGAATGCGCTCCATGACAATGAAATTTTTGCCTGTCTCTGGGTCTGAATAGAGGGCGAAGACACGCGGGACAGGGATATTTGTTTTCTCCCGAACAAATAACATATTTTCTCCTTCCATGAGATTGACACCCAGTCCAAATTTCACAACAAAATGCGGGCCTACTCCGACTATTCTTCGTCCTCCATATTCCATGGATATGTCAGGGGCGTTCTCGATTTCGGTACCGGTGGGTAGCGGGCAAGGCAAGTCAGTTGCATAGAACGGAATCTCAAATGTCTTCATCATCGCTCATCATCAGTCAGTCGGTAGACTGAGGGGGAGACTGAAGGGTAGGGAGGTGGCAAGGAAGAGAGTGAGCTGTTTTTATTCATCAGCTACGGGCGACGAATCGACAATGGGTCTTTTTGGCTCACCGCTCTAATTTATTATCCCATACTCTTATTCACCAGCCTATCAAGTATGCAAATCACATCCTAAGCGCCATCAAAGCGAACCAAACGTACGTTTCAGCAATTAGTGCGCAGGCTGTGGCATCCAATTACCCCCACCAATGAGGCCAGTTCTAAGATAACAACGCTTTGCTCATCTACCACGGAATAGGGTTTTTAAGCATCCGATCCCTGGTGCGCGCAATGTCTCGGCGATAGCGAGTACTCATTGGTTGGCAACAGCCATATCATCTTACCCCCGCCCCAACCCATGAGCGCTTTGACGAACATTTTTGGCCTAGTGACTGTATCTCACCTGCAACGTGTGAATGGCTTGCAGCGACTGCGCAGCAAGGAATGGCCGATAACAAATCTAGCTGATCTGACTTGTGTGACATGGCAGCCGTTATGGCCCGTTAGTGCGTGTATTGAACTACATACGAGTTGTTAAGCAAGCTTAGCCACCCTTTTTTTAGGGCCGAAATGCCTCTACTGGTGAAGAGGTCCAAGTGCTAAGCATAAAAATAGGTATTATAAGCCATAGCCTCTAGTATCATGAGGCCTTGTCCATAAGAAAATCCATGTTGGCCTGTGTGTTGGCAGTTGACATGTGATCGACAGACTGGGCACTATGCCCCATTTTTAAGACTTATCACGCATATACTAATTAACTGACTAAAGCGCTTCCCATTTTGACAGGGGTGGTCGTGACGTTGTTTTTGTCTGTAATTGCTTGACAGTTGATGGGCCCTTTCCCCACCTTTGACCTGAGTTCTAGAGATTGGATGCCGCATATTTTAGCGCGGCGCTAATGTACAAGACCACGATGTGATGATACTGTCAACAGTGACCAATCAGGACGACTAAAAAGCTGCCCAGAAAGTGGTCAAGCCACGACCAATGTCAGCAGAAAATAGAAGTTTCTTAGCGTCGGCCATTTTGCAATGGTGGCTAACTAGCCTATCCCGCTAACCGCCCGTCGTCTCATTTCGATTGTAACCCTAAGAGAGGAGAACCCGCTTCACGGATAGCATCCATCTACGCAAAATTGGAGTATTTGCTCATCCATAGGCCTCACAAATCGGTTCCGATTCTTATTCGAGGTGAATCTACGACTATGATAAAATTAGGGTATTGATGCTACCACCCACCCTGTCTGAAATTTCAGCACCGCCTTCCCTACTTTGATGCGACCTGCCATCTATTCTGCCTACTTCTGATTTACATACTTTCTACCTCATTCCTATAGGATTTGACCCCTTGACGATGAAGTAGTTGATGAAGCAGCTGATAAAAGATATGACAGGAGTAGCTTAATTTTGTTAGGGGTTTATATATAAACTGTAGGTACCTACTGTCTTACTACGATGTATCATACGCAGTGTGATACAAAAGCGGTGCACAAATTCAAAGACGGCGAGGAGAGCGGTGGACAGAAGCGTGTCGAGGCAGGTACGCAACCAAATTAGGAAGGCGCTACTGAAATTTCAGGCAGGGGGGTGGTATTAGTTATCCAAAGAGGGGCGGATGGACAGACCAAGCGGGCCTTGAAGCTACTCGAGCATGTGGCCGCAGTCCGAGAGAAGGCACTTGCCGAAGACCATCCCTCTCGACTATCCTCTCGGCATATACTCGCGACCGTCTACAAGGCGGACGGGCAGAATGAGCGGGTCTTGAAGCTACTTGAGCATGTGGTTGCAGTTGAGGGGAAAGTACGTACCGAAGATCACCCCTCTCTACTAGCTTCTCAGTTTCAACTCGCGGCTGTCTACGAGGCAGACGGGCAGATCAAGTCGGCTCTGAAGCTACTCCAGCACGTGGTCGCAGTTAAAGAGAAAACACTTGCCTCGCGAGTGTGACGTACCAGATCTTTTCATAATGAAAGAATGCATCTAATCCAAAATAACTGAAGGGAGAAGAGAGAGAGAGCAAGCAGAGGCCTGCTTACATAGTTGGCCACGGTGACATTTCCCACGGAATGCCCTAAGGGCTTACCTTGCTCTAACGACCTCGTTAATTTCCCGTTGTCTAACTAGTAAGCTTCTATTTTCCCGCTATCTTTTAGCTCGTAGTTTTGAGCATCGTCTACTTTGCTAATGTCATCGAATTTTCTAAAGTCTATTCACGCCTATCTTCCTCTAGCTCGACGCATAACTTTACATCGTCTAAATAGTTCAGGGAAAGAACGCTAGGTCTACAGGTATCATAAAGAAGATGATAAATGACTGATTTAAGAAGCATCGGGCGTTATATGATCAATAATAGAGTCTAACTCAAGTCTATGAAGGACCGAGTCGGTTATATATGCTCTAGAACAGAAATCAGTAAGAAATTCCGTTGAATCTCCGTGGGAAATACTCAATGCACAAAACACGTACGAAAAGCCCCTGGCGATCATGTCTGGGAATCTGTTTGTGACAACTCCCCCGTCTTTGTGGATCTGGTCCATGTAGGCATTGATATCCTCAGTCGCAGCTGAGTCTTGGAAGGTGACCTTATTCGTTAGTAGGGACCATGTGACTATGAGAAAAAGAGAAGGGTATTTACAATATATTTCGAACCCATGTTATTCGAGCATGTGTAATTTGTATAGGTATTTGAGAGGCTACTAATAGTACAACTGTCTATGACCAGCCTGACTATATATACCTGATGCGCCAAGAACACTGACGTCATTGCATGGTTCTAACCTGACCTTGGAACTATATCTCAACATGTAGGTGGCAACTATGTACCATTACATCTATCCTCCTGAACCGGACCAATCCGTTTTGTGGCTCCGTATTCCCCACCCTTGAACCAGATATTCAGGCAACTTCGCGGGTGATACTCGGATATTGCCGGTCATTGCGACCTGAATACACCAATTAGCTGGTTTACATCCGCTCTAAGGTGGTGTCATATTGCAATGTCCAAGGAATAAGACATCGCACTCTACCTTGCGGCTTTCAACTCTCGTGTATATATATCTATGCGAAATGGGGGAATGGGACGCCGGATAATCACAACGTAAATCAGTAGTACTTGTTGTATACGGGAGGTAAACAAAGGAAAAAAGGACCCACAGAAATTTGGGGTATAGCAGGTGGCAGGTGGCAGGTGGCCGAGAGATCTTATTCTGAAAGTTTCGATCCTTGGGATGACAACAGCTCTGTGAAGTTACACCAAGCCCGCTTGTAAGAGGGATCCTTGGTGGAGCACTCATGCAACCACCGGAGAGCCTTTTGGACCCTTTCCAATGCCTCGTTTCTCCCACTGGCTCTTGGTTGGTTCTGGATGAGCAACTGTGTTGTGAGCACTACAGTGCTTTGCGTGAGGTAGTGGAGAGAACACCACCAAGGTGAGCAACCCAAGAGCCAGGAGATGTTCGGTTCATTGGGTAGGAGATCAAGCATTTGGCCTGCCGCATTGAGGCAGACCATTGCCATTGGCGTGTCAAGACCAGTGGGGAAGACGTCACAACGAAGCGCGGGTTGTGAAATGACAAGTTTGGTCGAATAATATTGAAAAGCCAAACTCGTGCGTTGACGGACAAAGGGTCGGTCGTCTCTAATTTCCGCGAAACTATAAGTCGCAGGAAGGCGCGCAAACCAGTTGTCAGCGGCTCTGTTGAGTGATAACATGGCCAGTTCCGTGTCATTCCGAGATTTTCGTCCCGCTTCGGGAGAATACAAGATCTCGATTGCTTCTCTCATCACAGCTGCCAAGTCAATGGAATAAAGAAAGTATAATGAGACGTTAGCCTGAATCTGCAGGCTAGGTGATGCCTGGTGAGACATGAACGGTGAAGAAGGTGAGTGGGCTAAAGGGTCGTTCGGTTCAGTCGAGGGATCAAAGGAGAGTAGAGAAGCCATGAGGCGGCTTCTGGATTGAATGTCCAATATGAGCCTCATTACATGCTCATCCCGGAAGTCTTCCTCCTTGTAGGGCACCGGCAAAGGGGTCGTGCAGTGTTCTTGCTGCATTCTGGGCATACGTCCAGTCACGACGCAGAGCAGAATGTCCAACAGGTACAACGCCCACCATAGCCGATATCTGGTTTCTTTGGACACGTGCGTGATGCTGGGGCTTTCGCTACGAAGGTGAATACCCATCGCGACCGCCGACTGGATTGCAATCCCACATTTTCTCCATGACCTAACCCGAAATCAGTAGCTATGTAAAGAATCGCGGTGTTCGACCTACCTGTTGGCCTGCCCGATGGAAAGCAAGTAAAGTGATATTAGCCCCTCTACCTGTGCCTGCTGCAGGTTCGGATTCTCCAATCGGATACTCTCGCTCGTGTGCAATTGCCAGGCACGTGTAAAGTACACCGCGTGGATATTGTGATCTTGAGATTGGTCTCCGGAAAGCTCGAAATGTCTTGCAGCGATCGCGAAAACCATATTCAACAACGCCATCCACTTGTTTCCAGGGTGTGCTGTGGACTTTGAATAGAATGACCGACACTGGCTTAAAAATATCTCTTTGCCAACGACGGGGAAGGAGGCGTGGGCAACTTGAAAGTATCTGTCCACAAGTTCATCGGCGACCGCTTTTGAGGGATATGCGAGAGCATCTAGTTTCTTTATCGGCGAGATTCTTGTATCATCGATAAAGAATGCACAGGAAGAAATTGAAAGAGGGGTTGATTCCTCGAACTGACCGTCCGGATTGGAACTTGTCGGACCGATCAAGCACCTAAGCCTGTATAACCATGCCGATGCCGAATGTTCTCCTATAAAGCCAATCGCTTGCAGGGAAATGTCTCTATTAAAGTCCTCCAAGGTGTGATCCACGTAGGGAAGCGTTCGGGCCGATGAATCTGACTCATCTGGTACTTTGGCAAGGGTCGGCGATGACAGGGAAAGGCTAGCTATCTGTAGGTTGTTAGATAAATCAAGAAATATTTTGGCTGACCGGAATATAGACTCGCTTTTTCGAGAGCTTGGTCGATGACTTTGCCCAGCTCAGTGTCGAATAATTTGGGATAAAGATCGCGAACGAGAGATTCGTAGTGTTGGAGTTGGCTCGTTATCACTGTAAGTTGTCTAAGTCCTAGGGGTGAATATTTTGGGCGATCACATCTAGGAGAATCACAGACCTAGCATTTCTCTCTCGTTTCCCGTCGACATAGACACAGAGAACGTTGGTCTCCTGACATCGGAGGCAAGAGGGGCGATGACCAGAACACTTGTTCTTCTGTTTGCGACAGTTGTGGCATGCCTGACTAACTCGACCAGTATTGCCTACAAGAGGAAGGTCAAGTCTGGGAATGGCCACTTTAGCGTTCATCGGCTGCTCCCCGGCGGCTCGAGGGTTGTTCCAGGGACGATATGCCCCCAAGACGGTCGACTCCCGTGGTGTCACGGCCTCTCCACTCTCGAGCTCAGTTGTGTAGTTGAAAGGGTCCTTATCATTTGGGTGGACCGTTGGAAGGTTTTCAGATCGCGAAGAGCGACGAGATGGCCTTCCACTCATTGCAACTTGGCCCGCTGTTCATGGTCAGCGCAGAGTCCTAAGCGAGAATAGAAAATCTGCGACGAATCCGAGACGCACAAACCAGCTTGAGGGAAGCACCGGGAAGAAAAACCTCCTTTCGCAGTGAAATATCTGCCGGTGGGATTGATGGCCGGAGTATAGCTTGCAACAAGACTTGTTTTGACAAAAGACATGACACCTGTGATTGGCAGGCTCACGCTCCCGGTTGGATATTGGTTGGCGCCATTGGTCGGTGTACCGAGATCCCAACGGCCCACTGTTGGCTGGATTCAGGACAGGCATGATAGATGATTGGGATCATTTGGTGCTGGCCACATATTTTAGGGGTTGGCTACATGTCAAGGTTGCTGAAGTGCAAGGTGCTTATTATAAGAAGATGAATACAATCAATGAGTTCACCATGAGGCATCTTCAATAAATGTCAGTCGGTAATCGTGACCTCCCGAGGTCGAGCCCCATATGTATCCCATTACTTCCGACCAATGAGAGACCTCGATGTGGATTATCTGCCAGGGTGCCTAATAGAGATAGACATTGATCTCTATATATACAGGGACGACCCTTAGAATAAGCCTCCTTTTTTAACATTGCGGGATACTCCCGGCGAATTTATATGTCTAGCCTTCCCTTTTCCTTGAATCGAATATCGTGTCACTGGAAATGGACCTATCGTTACCCCGTATATGCCAATGGCTTGCTCTACAATAATATACAACCAAACTTTCGGCTATTCATAACTATCTTTAACTTAATCACATTGGTTGTCTCGAAACTAGGACTAGCGCGGATAGCTCTTAGCTTCATCGACTCTTAGCTTTGTAGCTATCAGCAACAGCTACCAAGTTACCCTCATCACACGCCCTCCGTGTGTCCGCACACTTCATTCGCCAGCCTAATTCCTGCGTAGTCCGACATGCAGGTATAAGCAGGATAACCGAATGTGCTGTAAGTTGTATGGCGGTATAAAAATGGGATATGCAAGTTATTCATGGTCGATGACATCATATGCTATATTACACAATTCTTCTATAGTAAAGAACAATCTGGCAGAGAAAGTAAATTGAAGGTCAGATTAGATGCATTTACTTTGTATTGAGAATAGACAGCTTTGCCAATTCACCTGAAAGGTGTCAACGCCAAGACCGGGATTCCGCTGAGATGGGATAAACAGCAATCTCCTGGCCAGCCCTATGCTTAGATTGGCCTGAAATGTGGGGAAATCATAGCGATCTTTGCGTGTGCACCCTGGCAATCTAGATGATACAGGATCAATGATAGGTTGAACGGTTGTGATATCGTCATAGCCTCATTTCCCTGTCGATGACGTAGCTCTGGGGAAAGCTTCCTTCATCCGTCGATCTTGAAATCCCGGACAATTCTTAAGTTCTCTTCGCTCAACAATTTTATTCTCGGGGGAATCCTGAGAAGGTGTACTCGTCTTCCTTCTACCGCATTGTACAGTCAAGCCAAACCAACCCTACAACTAGCCAAAACCTGAACCTCGATTCGTTTCCTTTTTCGACCGCCCTCCAAGATGGCTACAGGTCATCCGCATGATGCTCCCAAGAGCCGTCGGGTCGGGGAGCATTGGAGTGGTGCCAATCCCATTCCAACAATTAGTCACTTTATGAAACGTGTCGAAGATGAAAAAAAGAACGCAATCTCAGGATAGACGAAGAACACCGGGCTAATAAAGCAAGGATTGCACATGAAAAAGCGCAAGGAACCTATGGAGAGCAATCAGAGCACGCAGATCAAAAGGATCAAACCGAGGGAGGTGCTGTCGCTCATAAGCCACGCGAAGTGTCCCAGGCCAGGATTCGTACCGTGACAGACCCAACCACGGGCAAGGAGATCGGCGTGGAAGACCTAGATGAGACATGCATGGATACTGTAAATAATCCAATGGTATGTGGGATCATCTCGAACAAATCATGAATGGAGTCTAATTTATTCGCAGTTGACGGTTCCGAATGCAAATCTTGGGAAGCCCACGGTGAGTTGTCTGTCTGTATCGGTTCATGGGACATATTACTAATATGCAGCTCAGGACATCCAAACAAGTGCCGACCAAGATCTTGCGGAGTATAAAAGGATACAGGACATTACCGCACCTCCCGATCCTATCGCCGAGGGTACAACCTCCGATGTTCCCATTCGAGGAGAAAAGACGAACGTTCTGTTCCACCCCACGCCAACTGTCACGTACCAGCCCATGTTTGACGCACTGCAGAAGCGTACAACTGGCATTTGCATTGGGATACCTGTTGCCATAATCATACTAGGGCGGATGTGCGGAGGATCTCTTTGGGGTCTTGTTCCCTTAGCCGCATGCATCACGAGTGGAATATGGTTATGGATGAAGGAAGTCATTCGCAGCGGTCGCGCAATGGAGTGGGAGAGTGAGCATCTTCGCGGTCAGATGGTAGGCTCTCTATTGTATCACCTTGTTGATGGATAGAGATACTGACAGTTCAAAAGGCTACTGCCAATCTCCTTCCTGAATCTGTGGAGTGGTTGAACAGTTTCCTCGGTGTCGTGTGGGGGCTCGTTAACCCGGAAATGCTGACACCTGTGGCCGACACAATCGAAGATATCATGCAAGTCTCTGCACCCAAGGTTGTAGAGAATGTTCGCATCGCCGCAATTGATCAGGGCAGCAACCCACTCCGAATTCTGAGCATGCGGGCTCTCCCCGATGATCATGTGGAAGGTTTGAAGGAAAACATCCGCGAGGAAAACAAAAAGAATAAGGACCCACAGGAAGCTGCTGCTGCCGAAGAAGGAGGGAGTTACTACAACATGGAAGCCTCCTTCGCCTATCACGCAAGCCCAACCGGTCACAGTGCGTCTTCGAAAGCACGCAACATGCACATGCAACTTGTATTCTATCTGGGCATTCGAGGCTTATTTGGTGTGCCATTTCCCGTATTCGTGGAGCTGATTGAACTTGTCGGGACTGTCCGCTTGCGCTTCCAAATGATGCCCGAACCACCATTTATGAAGGATGTGACGTTCACCTTAGTCGGAATCCCCCACGTTCGAGCAGGCTGCATGCCAATGTTCCGAACGGGTGTGAATGTTCTGAACTTACCGTTGATCTCCAACTTTGTCAACTCCGCCATTAGTACCGCTTGTGGCATGTTTGCAGCCCCCAAGTCCATGACCATGGATCTCGGCATGATGTTGACAGGAGATGACATCCACAAGGATACTTTGGCTCTGGGTGTGATGTGGATTCGGATTCACCGCGCTGTCGGCTTGAGTAAACAGGATGCTCGCGGCAGCGAGGGGGCGGCAGCGACCCATACATCAACCTGTCCTTCTCAAAGTATGGCAAGCCCATGTATTGCACACGCGTGATTACGGATGACCTTAATCCGATTTGGGAAGAGACTGCCGCCCTTCTTGTGACACCGGAGTTGATCAAGGCCAATGAAAACCTGAGCATCGAGCTCTGGGACTCTGACCGCAACACCGCGGATGACATTGTCGGCAAGGTCGAGCTACCTATCCGTGAGATGCTTCAGCATCCCAGTCAGATGTATCCCCAGGTCTCGAAGCTTCAGGGCATGGACCAGGGCAGTGAGATGCCCGGTGAGCTACATTGGGAAGTTGGCTACTTCGGAAAACCAAAGCTTCGCCCTGAGCTGCGTACTGATGGCCAGAAGAAAGACCTTCCCGAAAACCTCAGAGGCGATCCGACTTTCGAAGACGAAAAGGGGGCTATCAAAAACGAAGAAGAGGATGCCATTATGCATACACCACCTGATCCAATCTGGCCTAGCGGTATTGTGCACATTGTTGTGCACCAAATCGTCAACCTTCAGCTTGCCAATATCAAGGGCAGTGATGGGAACCGCAAGGGTAAAGAGTATGAGCCAGCGAAGCCATATGGTGAGAACACAGAGGAGGAAGGTGAAGATCTCCCAACGAGTTACTGCATGGTTTTGTTGAACGACCAACTGGTACGTATTTGTAGACATACTAGTCCACTCCGGAATTCCAGGTACTAACAGCATATCAGATCTATCGCACTCGTGCGAAGGCTGTGAGCTCTAAGCCCATCTTCAACGCAGGAACTGAGCGATTTGTTCGCGACTGGCGCTCAGCTGCTGTGACCATCACCGTCCGTGACCAACGCTATCGCGAGCATGACCCTATCCTTGGCGTGGTTCCCCTGAAGCTATCTGATATTCTTCAAACCAGCTCACAAGTGACCCGCTGGTATCCTCTCGATGGTGGTATTGGTTTTGGACGTATCCGCCTTTCTCTTTTGTTCCGCCATGTGGAGACTAAGCTGCCACCTTGCATGCTTGGCTGGGATGTCGGCACCTTTGAATTTGCTGGACAGAACATCATCGCGAAGGACTTTGGTCGACACTCTAAGATCAAGCTGCGCACCGGGGGCAGCGTTGGCAAGATCACCCGGCACAAGTGCCACATGGAAGGCAATGATGCGGTATTCGATATCTCTGATGACGCTTTCCGCGACTCAATTCGCATGCCTGTGAAGTACCGATACCGCTCCCCGATCGTGTTCGAGTTCCACAACCCGGGCAAGCGAGGCGCAGCTGCATACGGTATTTTGTGGCTCCAACATATTGTCGACAACGAGGAAACAGACATTGACATTCCCATCTGGACAACAAAGATGGGCGCTCGCTTGACACAGAATTACGTCACGGAGGAGAACTGGAAGGCCAAGCAGGTACCTGGACTCGAAGACTTGACAGAAGTGGGACGTCTGCAATTCCGATGCAAGTTCTCGCCGGGCATTGACGAATCGCACGAGCTCTTCGTGATTGACAACGACTCCCGCGAGACTTTCGAGACGTGGGAAGCGTGCGTGTCCCAGGGTGTCCGTACCAACACGGTGGAGGTCGAAGTTCCTCCTGAAGTGCAGGAATTGCACGAGCAGTCTCTGATCGAAGGACGGGACATCTTGAAGCAAGCCTCGCCCTCTGAGCGTCAGCGGTGGATTGACCACGACGGCCAAGACTGGAGTGGAGCGTTCGGTCAAGACCCGCGGGCGTACACTGATTCCCTCGGACGCAAAATCGCGGAGCCTGGCCGGGACCAACCGCCCCATGACCCGTACACCCCTCCGCCCCTCAAGGATCCATCTTCTCATCGATCCAGTTCCCAAGATGGAGAGCACCACGACGAGAATACCTCGGAGTCAGATGACGAGCTCGAGCCCTTGTCGAAGGGACCCTCGACCATCAGTGGCAGTGGACCTGGGACGTCTGCGTCACACAGCAATATGAGTACTCGCCAGATCAACAAGGCGAATAAACACAGCGAGCAGCGACAGCAGCGTGGTATGATGCAGTGGCGGCCTGCTCGCAATGCTGCTTTTGCTAAAGATGAGGCCAAGTATGCGTTCCGGAAGATGAAGAAGAAGATCGGTGCTGGTGGTCTCACTGGTCGCGAGCCAGATGTCGAGACGGAGACTTGACGACGTATGAATGTTTTAGGTTTCGGCGTTTTGTATGTCCTTTGCATTTGCATATAAAATGTGAATATAGATTTATTATTTATTGTTTAACACCCACGAGTTAACTACTGAACGCTTATGACTACCATTTACTACCATGTAGATGAACCTAAGAATGGCGGTGATGCCTTATAAAAGTTTAATTCCAGATTTGGTCAAGAATCAGATTCGTGAACTCTGCTTTCTGTCCTCATTGTTTTATTTTGTGCCTTATGAGATTGGAAAAGTATACATCGGAAGGATATGATCCGTAGAAGATAGAATGACGAAACCATAGCCAGTGAAGAAGAAAAGAGCGCAGATGCGCCAAAAGAAACCGGATAAACCCAAACAGCGCCTCTATACAACATGATTCGTGAGAAATTATATGCATCGCCATTATCATGCAGGAAAAAAAGAAACATCAGAAAAACAAGACATCAGGCATAAAACCATGAACGTCACGTAATTAACAGTCGGGCGCAAAGTCGGTGGATACTCGGAGAGACTCTGAGCCGGGGGTAACCTTAGCCGCGTTCAATAATGAGACATTCTCGGGGCCATTGATCTCGGCCCTATCGACAGGCCCGAGAGTCCATTTCCATTCCCTCCGACGCTTGGCCCGGCCCTGCCTGGGCGTGCGCGGCGTCGAGGAGCCATCCGCCTCGAAGCCATCAAGCAGAGCGACGGCTCGCACCTGGCGCTCCGCACGCATGGTGCGGCGCTTTTTCCGCTCCGTCTTGGAGAGCGAAGACCCGCGCACGCCTTCATCGGCACTGGTCTCATCGCCGGAGGCACTCCCTGATAAGGACGGGCAGTTATCGGAGTCCTCTTTTTCGCCTTCGAGGTGCGGGAAGGGGGCGGGGCCTGTCTCAGGTGGGGTTTTGGTTCTGGCGTGTGCCTCGGTTCCCACTGCCTCGTCTGACTCTGTCACGAGATCCAGGTGTTGCGCGGTGTAGCATTCTGTCCGGATCTCCTCCTCCAGTGGGTACCGGTAGCTGACTTGTTTCTTTGCTGGGAAGAAGACGCGACGTGAGCCGCCGCCGTTGGGCCCATTTCCGCTCGCTGAGATGGAGCCTGATCGTCGGCGGGCGGAGGGTTCTAGTGGGGAGTTGCGTAAAATGCTGCGCACGCCGATGGGGAGTTGGTATGGGCGGTGGTTGAAGATATTATTGTTCGGGTGTAGGATGTAGGGAGAGGCCGGTTTGTTGTAGCGCGTAGATTTGGAGGGGGAGGGTGCGGAAGATGGGGATGCAACTTCATAGGCGTTCTTGAAGGTGTTTCGAATAGTGGGGGATGAAGTTGGTGCTGTTGCGAAGGAAAATGATAGACCGGTCGTTGAAGTGCCGAATGTGCGAGGGAGCGCGGTGGTTTGGAGGGTGAGTTTTGGTCGGGAGGTCATTGTGCTCGTCGCTTCAGACAGACACGACATGGTAAAAGTAGAGGAAGAATCAAATGTGTGTCATCTCAGCCCAAGAAGAAGAAAAAAGAGAAGAGGAAATATGTTTAGCGGGGTTGAACTAAGAATAGAGGAGGTTGGCGCTTGGGATGTGATGAAAGATGCATGTCACTTGCACATTCCACGATTTAAAAAGATTTAAGATTAACGTCAAAGTGCTTTATTCAGAGTATTTAAACCATCTCCATGGAGAATTACCCCATATATACTCCGAAGTACTCCGTTCAGCGCAAAGCAGAGATTTCCATGACAATTCCAGACTCGAGTGGATGCGTAACTATCGACGCCACCATCCACACTAATTTCGGTTTTTCTATTTTGGTAGTATAGCAGATGTTGTTGTTTATGTCAAGAGTATCTTATAAAGTATTTTAAGGTATTTCCTGGATAAAAACAGGATCAGGAGCAGGATCAGAGAGAAAACGCATTCGTCTATAAAAAGAACAGGGCCCCGTGGGTCTCCGATCTACATCTATACACATGCCTGGTGGCAAAGACCTAAATATGGTGGATTTAGGTGGAAATGCCATTTTGAATGTCTTATCTTCTTTATCTGCCTCTACTTTGTCTATACAGAGTATATTATACCTAATATAAAGTGGCACTGTTGTATCTCACACGTGACGCTGGCTGCAAGCGTCAAAGAGGTATTCTAGACTATGATTGGTGGGAAATCGATCCAACTACACCGGATTGACTAGTTCTATCTTGTTGCTGGGGGCTGGGTAACATCAGCTCCACCCAATGGCGTCGATGACTTCTACCTGGCATTTTCCACTTTCGTGCGGCGATGCCGGAGGAAAGCTTAAGGACTGGTCGACTAGGATGAGGTAGTACGGGATCTCTTTGAGCATAGATATCTAAAATGAAGAAAAGCAGCTTAGAACCAAAAAAATGGAGTACAATAATATAACTGACTAGTAACTACTTCATGCATGAACTACCAGGCACCAAGGCCAATAAAGGTAAGCCACCGACGCCACACCAGCCACAAATAGGCCCCAATCTTGAAGTTGCCTTCGGTTCCTGTTTTCAGCGTTCGATCGTTGCCAGGCACCCGCAAATCGAGGTCCCATGGACACGTCGACATCAGCTCAGAGTTCATGGCTGCACTAGTGCGGAACGACGATCGCATCATCCTTCACTTGGTACCTCTCTCCACTCTTATTGCCACTGCCCACGCTTTGACTAACCCATACCCAGGATTATGACTGTTTCTATGCCTCGGTCTTCGAGGTGGAACAACCTGCATTGAGGTCTCTTCCTTTGGCAGTTCAGCAAAAGCAGATTGTGGTAACCTGCAACTACGAAGCCCGGCGCCGGGGTCTGCATAAGTTGCAGCTCATCAAAGATGCCAAGCGCATCTGTCCCGATGTGGTAATAGTTCTCGGTGAAGACTTGACCAAGTTCCGAAATGCCTCCAAGGAGCTTTATTTGCTGGTTCGCTCCTTTGTCTGGGGCGGCCGTGTCGAAAAGCTAGGCTTTGACGAGCTTTTTCTCGATGTTACAGAGATGATTGACTACAACACTGGCGTGTTAAATCGAAATGATTTGGCGAATTCGTATTTCCATCTTGATCGGAATGACCCGACCGTTGGTTTTTCCTACGATGCCACTCGCTTCCAGGGATTGACCTTTCCCGCAATGGAGGCGGCCTTCGCTCAGAAAGATTCGTCTTCGTTGGAAATGAGATTGCTCGTTGCCTCTCATTTACAGGGTCATATACGGAGTAAGATAGAGCATCAAATAGGCTTCACGGCTACGGGCGGAATCTCAACCTCCAAACTGCTAGCCAAGTTGGTCGGTAATGTTCACAAGCCCAATGGCCAAACGACTCTTCTGCCGCCATATACGGCAACGGAAAATAATACTAGCAACGTGTTCCAGTTCCTGGATGACCACGAGATTCGGAAGATTCCCGGAATTGGTTCTCGGATCGCCCAGAAACTGAAATCCCATATCATAGGGAAAGAGAGCGTTGACGAGAAGATCACAGTCAAGGATGTCCGCCAATTCTCTGGCATGAGCCCATCTTTACTGGAGAGAATCCTCGGCGGGCCAGGCTCAGTGAAAGGGATCGGGATGCGCATGTGGAGCATTCTCCACGGAGTAGATAATTCCGAGGTGCTCGAGGGTCGCGATGTGCCTACGCAGATCAGCATCGAGGATTCTTACGGGCGGTTAGATACGCTCGAGAGTGTCCGACGAGAGCTCGTAGTGTTGTCCCGAAGTCTGATCCGCCGCGTAAGAACCGACCTACTTGATATGAGTGATGACACTGCTCCCCAAGGGAGATGGCGTGCTCATCCTCGCACGCTGCGGTTATCAACCCGGCCAAGACTCCCGCCAGACTTAGGTACCAGGCGTGCATACAGTTCCAATCGCATCTCTCGCTCAGCACACCTGCCACCCTTTATTTTCAACTTGGATGAGAACATCGATGCATTGGCCGAACGACTGGTCCGGGAAAGTGTGTTCCCTATGTTTCGCAAGTTACATCCTGAAAAGGCTGGCTGGAATCTCAGTTTGTTGAACGTTGCGGTTACCAATATGGTGGAGACTGCGGGGGACCAGAAGCGAAGCAGTGGCCGTGACATTGGGAAAATGTTTCAACAGCAGGAGACAGTACTCAAGGATTGGACTGTGCAGGAACCCGAGCCCTCGTTTGCTAATCCGCAGTTACCCGATTCCCCTGAGATAGAGTCACAGTCGGACGATGGCTGGGATGACGATGAACCCTGGAGTGTGGATTGCCCTATATGTGGGGTGTCGATTCCACACTTTGCCCAGTTGGCACATCAGATATATCATGGGGATCATGAAGCACAGCCCTCTATTATTCGGCAGCCTTAAATGCCAATTAATGCCAAGTGTCAGAAATTCTTCGATAGGCTTCCAAGCGTCTTGGCTTAAGCCACTTACGCGTTATACCAGTACATACTATGAGAAAGACTATTACATAGTTACCTTGGTTTCCTTAGTTACTTACTGAAGAGTCTCGACGTTAACGTGTTGGGATATATATCGATGATGGTATACTCTGCATACTTCAATATCACCCATGGATGCTATAACCTGCCAAGCAAGAAAGAGACAATATGATTGGATGAAATAAAAATAACTCTCTCTCTCCACAGAACCACAGGAACCAGTTATCAATGCGTGCAATATCTGGAAGATTAAAATGGCACATCGAAATTGTTTCAGTCCACTTTGCCAAGCCAACTGGATTGAGGATTCCTAAGCCCTTGGCAGTGAGCCCTGTACAGCCCCAGCATTATCTGATTCCTCTGACTTTCCTTTCTTCACTTCCTGGTTTCTTGAACTTCTAGTCCTTCGTTGATTTTGATTTCTCTCTTGAAACATTCCTCTTGAACCCCTGAACCCCTGGTGGACCCTTTAAATTTCCCTTGCCACTCAGGGTCTCGGAAACTCTATTGAAAAAAGACCGGGGAAGGACCCTGAATATCTGGATCTTGCGATGAGGTTTTCTACCATTCTGCCCTTGATCGGTGCATTGTCATCGCTCTTTCAACAAACACAAGGTAAATCCCCACTTGCAGCCCAGACCGTCGTTGCCCAGGCCTCCGTTGCCTAGCCGCTGACAATCCCCAGCACGATCACAGGCCTCAAACGCCATTCGCCGAGTGACGCCCGTCGACAATGCCATCATTCGTACTCCTTCACATCAAATAGATCACCTGTCACATTTTGATATCACCTTTGCCCTACACCAAGACGGCAAGCGCATAAAGCTAGAACTTGAGCCCAATAATGATATCTTGGCCGAGGACGCTTACGTGCAATACGTCCGTAACGACGGCACAATAACACATTCCGAGCCGATCAAGCGAGACGAGCACAAGGTTTTCCGCGGGCGCGCCTTGGTAGGATCTGGAAAGGGGAGATGGACACCCGTCGGCTGGGCAAGAATCACCGTCCAAAGGGATGGCCTGGAGCCTTTATTTGAAGGCGCTTTCAGCGTCAACGATGACAAGCACCACATTGAGCTTCAATCGACCTATCTCGACAAGAAGCGCCCGATGGATGCCGACGTCGAACCTAGAGATGGGCCATCGATGATCGTCTACCGTGACTCCGACATGTTTCGCTATACGCACTCCGAGCTCAAGCGGTCGCTGCCCGTATCCGAAGGCTGCGGCGCTAATAACCTTGGGTACAATGCTGATCTGTCCAATACGATTTTCGGGGATATGGACAGCCAATGGGGTGTGACCTCGTTGAACTCGATGTTCGGATTAAGCAAGCGACAGTCCGATGTTGGTGGTGTCTCGGGAAACACTGGCGGTGTGAATCTGAAATCGACCATCGGTGATTCCAGTGGATGTCCTAAAACGAAAAAAGTGGCCTTGATCGGAGTTGCTACGGATTGTGAATTCACCGAATCGTTCATGGCTACGAACTCCACCCCCGAACAAGCGGCTAGGGACTGGGTTATCAACGTGGTGAACACGGCTTCAAATCTCTATGAAGAATCTTTCAATGTGTCCATTGGTTTGCGCAACCTTACAATCGCCGAGACAGGCTGCTCTAGCTCGGGCTCCGCTGCTACGCCATGGAACGTGGATTGCAACGGCGGAAATGTCACCTGGCGCCTGAATGAATTCTCCAAGTGGCGTGCAACCCATTCAGATGACAATGCCTACTGGACTCTGATGACAAACTGCCCAACAGGCTCCGAGGTTGGAGTTTCATGGATGGGTCGTCTATGCTCGTCTGAACTGGTTACATCTGGAGCGAACTCTGTGGCCGGTGCCAACGTCGTAGTGCGCAATTCTGGTTCTTCCTGGCAGGTGTTTGCCCACGAGACTGGTCACACCTTTGGAGCAGTGCACGATTGCGACGAGAGCACCTGCGCGGATAACCTGGAAGCCTCGTCTCAATGCTGCCCGCTGAGTTCGTCGACCTGCAATGCCAATGCGCAATACATCATGAACCCCTATGCTGAGAGCACCATCACCAAATTTTCGGAATGTACCATCGGTAACATCTGCTCTGCCATTGGCAAAAACAGCATCAAGTCCTCTTGTCTATCCGACAATCGCGGCGTCGTGACCATCAGCGGCAGCCAATGCGGCAACGGCATCGTCGAAGGCGACGAGGAGTGTGACTGCGGCGACGAAGAAAGCTGCAGCGACAACTCCTGCTGTGACCCCAAGACCTGCAAATTCAAAGGCAGCGCCGTGTGCGACGACTCCAACGACAGCTGCTGCGATCAATGCCAGTTCGCCTCCGCCGACACCGTCTGCCGCGCCAGCACCGGAGAATGCGATATCGCCGAGACCTGCAGCGGAACCTCGAGCTCCTGTCCCGCAAACAAATACAAAGACGACGGTGCCAGCTGCGGCGCCAAGGACCAGGGACTCAGCTGCGCTAGCGGCCAATGCACCAGCCGCGACTACCAGTGCCGCACAGTAACAGGCGCGGTACTGAACACCAACGACACCTGGGCCTGCGATAACACAGGCAGTCCCTCCTGCAGTCTCGTGTGCGGCGCACCCTCATCCCAACAATCAATGGGTACCACAAGTTGCCTCATCATGAACCAGAACTACCTAGACGGTACACCCTGCGACTCCGGCGGCCGCTGCAGCGCCGGCCAGTGCAAGGGCTCCTCGGCCCTGGGCTGGATCCGCCAGCACGAGAAGCTGGTTATCGGCATCTGTGTCGGCGTCGGCACGTTCCTCCTACTCGCTATCTTCTTCTGTATCTATAGTCGCTGCAAGCGCAGCGCACAGCTGCGTAAGGCCCGCAAGGCTATCCCGCCTGGCACATATCGCCGCTATAATGGGCCCCAGCCTACTGCTCGCCCGCCTATGGACCAGTGGCATGGATACCGGAATGCCGGTTATCAGAATGTGCCTCCGCCCGGTTATTCTGGGTATCAGAATGTGCCTCCGCCTGGTGTCCCATACCAAAACGGCGGGTATCAGAATATGCCTCCCCCTGGTCCCCCGCCACGATACGCATGATCACCCCCTTCTGCTTCTAGTTATATTACAGTTTATGGGTTTTACTGAACCTTTTTTTGTTTGCATTCGGGTCTCTGGGATTTGGTCTGGGGGATTTGGGTATCGGCGTCATCGCGGATGGTTGTCCAGGTGGTTATTATCGGTCCTTTAGTATGGATAATATCATCTGCGATCTGGGGTTTTGGGCTTTCCCTTCTTGTGGTTACTTTTTGAATTTGGATGCATTTTTCGTGAATAGATTATGTCGAAGCCCTTGTGGCTATGAATGATACCGAATTTTCACCTTGCAAGTATAATAACCTGAGCATGTGCACGTAGAGGAATGAATATCCATTTGAAGTGCGATTTTAACCCAAAATAAACACACAGAGGCACTTACTCCAAAAACAAGCACATGAGTAAAACGACAAGATCAAATCCTAACACCGAGGAAAAAACCCATGTACAACAAACAAAGTCAAGTCATGTCAAGTCTCAGTCTCCCAGAGCAACCGAACCCGTCTAACAGGATCCAATCCCCAGCAAGACCTTAGACATCCAACTCATTGCCAACAAATCCCAACAAAAGCCTCCCGAGTAACACCACCGACGCCCTCAAGATCAAACTCCTCAATCATAGCCCTAAGCTCCTCCTCCTCAAGCCCAGTCTCCCCCAACTCCCTCGCAACACGTCTCAAATCCTCAAGGTCAATAAACCCCTTGCCGCCCTCATCGAACAGCTCGAACGCGCGCAGGATCTCGTCGCGCGGGTCCCGCTCGAGGATCTTCAGCGCCGTGACGGCCTGGAACGACGAGAGCGGCATGAGCAGGTTGGACGGGTGTTGCGGGTTCGAGACGGGCCCTTTGTTGGAGGCGAGGGGTTGAGATTGGGCGTGTTGGTTGCCGGCGGCGCCTTGTTGTTGCTGGACTTGGGGACGGGGTACGCCGTAGGTTGTTAGCAGGGAGATGAGCTCTTGTTTGCCGAGTGTGAAGCCTAGAGCGCGGAAGGCGACGCGGAGCTCGTGGTAGTCGAGGTGGCGGTCGCGGTCGAGGTCGAAGAGGGTGAACTTGAGGGGTTTGGGTTAGCTGGGGTTTTGGATGGGGGTTGGTTGTTGTGGTCTGGTTTCTTTTCTTTTCACTCTTGGAGGGAGGTAAGAGAGAGGAGGGAGGGGTTTGTAGGAATTTACAGTAATTCAGGAGAATAGTAGTGTCATAGATGGGTGGATTGGGTATCCCTTACAGCTTCGTTGATCTCTTCCCTCTGCTCTTCGGTGAGTCTGTTCAGCGGATTCGCGTCTTGCGCTGGGCCATGGGACACGGCGTTTGTTGCGGGCGCGGGCGCGGACTGTTGCATCTGCTTTTGGCCATCGGCGGTGAATTCGCCTTGGTTGGTATTTCCCAGACCGCGATGCCGTGAGAATGAGGAGGCGCTGAAGGGCATCGCGTTCGTGTTGACGGAGCGTTCTGGGAGTTTCGTGCCGGCGTAGGAGCGCGACGCGAAGGGTTGGCCAGAGGCCATGGTGGATGGCGTGTTCAGATTTAATTAGATGGCTGGATCAACAGTTCTTCAGCATTAATTTGAGTGGAGGGGCTCGCAGCCCACGAGAATGCGTGGAGAGATGAGGTGTTTGGCGGTGGGAGGATTCTGGAGACGCGCCAGACGCGGGCGGAATGACAACGCGCTGTTTTGCTTTTGTTACAGATATAGTGGTCAATGAAAATATAATTGTTTGGAAATTCAGGATTCAATTAATTATTGCTAGAAGGATGAGCGAGTGAGCGAACTTCTAGACACAGCACAACCTGGTGCTAATCACAATATCCCAAGTTACCAACCCATAAAAACTTCTTATCCACCACCTAACGTGATTCCTCAAACTTCCTCAAACGAGTGTTGTATGTTCCTCCCAAGGATAACTTATTAAAAAAAACAATAGCGGTGAGCGAATGTTGCTGTTGCCGGAGGTTTCAACAATTGTACAGAGATTTCTGGAAATTGCCATAGAGTGGCATTGTATCGGATGGCATTGTATCAACAAAGGCGGCACCCATAGGATCGAATCCATTGTCGTCTTCACTGTTGAGGACATCCATCAGACCATTCGGATCCAGGCTTTCAACTTGATCGGGATAAATTATGCTATCAAAGGAATTCTGTTCCTGGGCAATCACCGTGTCGTGCGAAGTCGCTGATAACTGCAAGAGCCCGTCGTGCTGCTCAACAGGATTCGCAAAGCGAGGTCGAGGGAAATGATCAGCTAGGAAGGCTTGCATTTCGCAGGCTGGCGGCGAAAAGGGACCGTCAGGCCGGCCCAAAACAGACGACATTTCCTCGGGGTCTCCCAGCCAGAAGGCCATATCCAGGCTTGGAGACGACGGGAGACTGGGAACTTCATCCTCAAGAATCGTTCTGATGGAGGATTTCCCAGTAGCCCCGTGTCTGGGGGACACATTGCGCAGGATATCTTCGAGTTTTTCGCGAACACCACTCAGATAACAGCGAAAGGAACCGAATATTCTCGCGACGATTGGGCTGTATTGAAGATCTTGCAAGCCGCACGTAACTCGGTAGTATAATGCTGCGGCGACCCAAGGGGGCTCGATCTCATTTTCTTTCCCTGATCGGTTTTTCTTGTTGCTGTTCTGCTTGTCCTTTCCGCACAGAGCCACGTACAAACCAGGGCAAAAGTCCTGAGACATCTCTGCGAGCTTCCGAAACGAGAGAATCAAAAGATAAAACGAGACGAGTCGCCCGGTGGTAACATCAAACCAGGACGAACGGATTCGAGCTTGCACCAAGCCTTGAATGGCCATAAACAAATTTGCCATTCTGAGCGCAGTCCAGACGAGTGGGTTGTGTTTGTATTGATCTTCAGATTTGACCAGATCCACGAGGGGAAGGGCACTGGTAAGCCCAGTAAGAAAATCATCGACAGGGCACTCTGTTGTACTAGATAGTGCGATACTGGACCTCGTGACTGTCCAATGCCATGCAGTGCAGTTTCCGCCATATGTTTCGCGGATATTAACAATCGCGTTGAATGCATTCATGCGTTTGAAAACCTCGTCACCCATGCGTTGCAAAGTATCTTTCGCATCTGGGGACGGGAAGCTAAAGATCGTAAGAGAGCCCCCCGCAGGTGGCCCAAGCAGACATAGATCTCCCCAACTTCGAAAGCAGATTCGATTACCCTTAGAAAAGCACGGAGGACATGGTGTAGTTGTTCCACACTTTTTCTTGGCCCGGTAGCACGCCATACATGAGCCGCCAGCTTTCCTGAGTGCGGCGGTATCTTCTCTCTGTTGCAGAAGTTCGGCCCGGTTACGCGGAATCTTTTCGCGGATCTTATCAGATTTCTCAGGGTTCGCTGGATCCCATGGGACGAAGCCATCGGGATATGCTTCCTCGAGATGAGGAGATAGCGGACGTCCCAGCGCAGATAATGGCTGTGTTCTACCGACACCATGTTCACTCCGAGCACGCTCATGTTCAGTCGAGACGCGTGGCGAGGTATCATTGGCACTGGAAGGCCATGTTGAGGGTCGAGGATCCGAGCTTGTAGGAGATACGGGGCTTTGTACTTGGTCTTGAATCGTGGGAGGCGTCATTATTGAATCAAAACAACCTGGGCCGCCAGGCATATCCGGCCCCTGAGGTTGGTCTTCAATCATGGGAGGCGTCATTATTGAATCGAAAGAAACTGGACCACCAAGCACATCCGGCCCCTGGGGTTGGCTGCTAGGCACCTGGAGTTGACTGTTTATCGGACTATTGTCGAGTTTGTTGGGCATTTTGAGTATGTCTGGATCTATGGACTGGGTCTCATATGCCACGGCCGTCGACGACAGTTGCCATGTCTGTGACATTGTATGCTCGATATTGGGATCGGGAAAGTAAGGTGTGGCTGATGCGAGTGGAGACATGGCAGACTGAAAGGTCGGTATCAGTATCAAGAATCCACGAGATGTGCAAGCTTAGAATGAAAACCACAGGGACATAGGAGGGCGCGGTGAGAGATGGATCGAACTCACAGGATAGATGGAATCCGGTGTACGTGGTGTACACGGCGCATATTTACGCCCGCCATTTGGATTTGGAGAGAATGGAGACGGCTGATGCCGTGTAGCGGCTTGAGCCATCACGGTTTCAAGGGTGAACGATAGGAAAGGTAATGATGGACACCCTGAAAAGTCCTCGAGCAAAGAGTGAGAGCGAAAGGACGGGCTTAGGGCAGAGCCTAACAGCAAACTGATGTTTGTACCAACAAGTTGTCGATCCTTTGCGAAGGGAGAGAATGAGTGACGTGAAGTAAAGATGGAACTTGAGATGCACTTGGGCAGCTTCAAAAATACTCAAAACGGACTAGTACCGCTAGGAAGGCCAAACCTTTACCCGAACCTTAGTCGAACCTTGAACATCATAGCGAGATACAAGGGCATCGCTTAAGGTGAAGCAGGCACGACTAGGCCCATGAGGCCGATGCCAGATCCGGTATAGCCCATCGCTAGGTATAAGGTTTACATGGTTTCCAGGGTTCAGGGGCGGAAGAAGTATGAGTACTGCCATGTGAATAGGCCTAGATGTGATGTATGGAAGAAAGATGTGAGCAAACAATGAAGACAATCAATCTCTTTGATATGAAGTACTGTCCAAATCACTGTCTCTCCGCGTACCCAGATCCAAGTCCTCTAGGAAGGTACGACCGAGGAGTTGCTCGGGCAGGTAATCCTGTTGAACCTTGCCGTCGACATAGTTCGGATTGTACTTATACTCCGCGCCATAGCCCAGCTCCTTCATCAGCTTCGTCGGTGCATTCCTTAAATGAACAGGAATGGGCAAGCCCGCGATTCCTGGCTCGTTCAAGGCGGCAAAGACGTTATTCAAGCCACGGTACGCGCGAGTACTCTTTTTCGATAGCGCCATCGCCACAGTAGCGTGTGCCAGATTGATTCGGGCCTCTGGAAGTCCGATTTTTTCGACGGCTGAATGTGTGGATATAGCAAGTGACAGCATAGTGTTGTCGGCCAGGCCAATGTCTTCGGAAGCGACAACAATCAGCCGTCGAGAGATATACAGGGGGTCTTCACCGGACTGAATCATGCGAGCAAGGTAGTAGAGGGCTGCATCTGGGTTGCTCCCTCGAATGGACTTGTGAAAAGCGGATATCGTATCATAATGCTGATCTCCAGCACGGTCATACACGAGTGTCTTTGTCAAAGATCGTTTCAGGTTCTCTTTATCCATTCCCGGCCTTTTTGACAGATCCATGGCTAGCTCCAACAAATTTAGCGAAGTGCGAGCATCTCCATCGGCGAATTTGGCGAGATACTGAACCAGCTCTTCGTCCACCAGTTCGGAGGGCGAATAATTCGGGCCTTCAACTCGGAGGGCACGATGAAGGATTGAAATGATATCCTCGTCAGTGAGCTTCGCAAGAGTAAATGTTCGGCAACGTGAGAGCAGCGCATTTTGAACCTTGAACGACGGGTTTTCCGTTGTGGCACCGATCAGTGTGACCTGGCCGCTCTCTACCGGGCCCAAGAAGACATCCTGTTGTGACTTGGAAAACCGGTGGATCTCGTCACAGAAGATAATTGTTTTTCTCCCAGTGAGTCCCAGCTCACTACGAGCTTCGGCAAATATCTTCTTGCACTCTGCTACGCCGCTGCTGGTACTGTTTATTTCCACGAATCTGCTGCCCACCAGCGACGAAATGACTCGAGCGATTGTTGTTTTCCCTGTTCCCGCGCTACCCCACAGTATCATACTCGGTACTCGGTCCTGTTCGATGAGTCCGCGTAGGATGCCGTTCGGTCCGACAAGTTCTTGGCCGCAGACCTCATCCAGGGTTTTAGGTCGCATGCGTTCCGCTAGAGGTGCTGCTTTGTGGAAGGCGTTGATCCTGGGACGCTTTGCCTGCGGCTCTTTGGATTCACCATTTGGTTGCTTTCGCACATCTCGCTCCCGTGTAGATTCTGCTTCCTCGGTAAATGATCGCTTGCCGTTGAGAGCACGTGGGGTTGTTGTGGGACGCGACGGGGACACCTTCGGAATATTCGACTGGGCAGAAGCTTTGCGCGCGGACGGAGGTTGAAACATGCTTGGGACTGGTCCCTTCTGGGAGGATGCCGGCTCTCCTGGAGAAGACGACGGTTCTTCGATGAAGCTCTGGCAGCCCGAGTCGATGTGGTTATTGATCTTCAATTGGGAGACAGATTGATCGCATATTGGGCAGGAAACCATGATGACCGGAGAATGATATGGTCATTCACTAGATTCCAAGGTTACTCAAAGACTCCAAGGTGAGATAAACGTCGAGGCGATAACATCCACCCGCGGGTGCGACGCGTTCAACGCGTTAATTAGTAAGTAAGAGGCCTTGGTGCCTGAAAATGGGGCAGACGACCAATCTACCTAACTGTATGAAAACATGTAGAATATGTAGATACTACATAGACATACTCAACAAGTACATGCAAGTACTGTATAATCTCCGAATGCTCCGAATATAAAAACAAGTCCCGAGGGCCGTCAGAGCCGAATGCGGAGCACGCCATGGTGGGGAAATCCGACATCTCTATCTATTGTCCTCTCTCCTCTTATTCCCTTCAATATCGCTCATGATTTCCCGCTCCTTTCGGCACATCCTTGCTCAATCACAGAATTGCAGGTCTAGAACCCTTTTCTCTGCCCTTTCGACATTACCCCGCCCTGGTTACAGCACAAGAGCGATGTCGGCTACAGCTTCGCGACCCGATCCATTTCGCCCCGCCCAGCGGGTGGCAGGACAGCGCCAGGATGTTTGGTATGCCGTTTCAGAAAAGAAGTTGGGAAAGACATACTAAACTGGGATCCAAGGTCAATCGTCAACGAAGCCGCCGCAGCTTCGCCAGTTCAGCCGATTGTGAACATGGGCCAGGGATTCTTGTGAGTCACACCATTTCGAGGACCCCCAATTACCCCAAGGGATGGGAATTGACGGGAAATATTTGTGCGCAGTGGCTATAACCCTCCCAAGTTCGCTCTTGACGCTGCGAAGGATGCGCTAGACCGAGTGGAATGCAATCAATACTCTCCGACGAAGGTAGAGAACGCCAACGAATCTGCGCATGGTTACACAAGTGCTCATACATTATAGGGCCGCCCCCGCCTCAGACAGGCTATCGCGGATGCTTATTCGCCCTTCTTTGGCAAGAAGCTGAACCCCGAGACCGAGGTCACGATCACAACCGGCGCAAATGAAGGTGAGAGATTGGCATAGTCTATCTATAAATGCATACTTGGCACTGACAAGCGACGAATAAAAGGCATGCTCAGTGCCTTCATGGGCTTTATCGAGGATGGTGATGAAGTCATTATCTTCGAGCCCTTCTTTGATCAGTAAGGAACTCCAATACTGCGAGGGGATTGCGCGGATACTAACTTACTCGGAATAGATATATTAGCAACATTGAGATGCCCGGCGGTACCATCCGCTATGTTCCCCTCCACCCGCCCAAGGATGGTGCCACCAAGACCTCTCCTGCATCAGAGTGGACTATCGACTTTGAGGAGCTCGAGAGGGCCATGAACCCCAAGACAAAGATGATTGTAAGCATGCGATACCAAGATTCTCATGAATATCCAAGCTAATTATAACAGGTCCTGAACTCTCCGTAAGCAGACCTGATTTACAGAGACGAATAAGGTCTCAACTAACTTTATATTCATAGACACAACCCCGTCGGCAAGGTCTTCTCGCGCGAGGAGCTCGAGCGCATTGGTGAACTGTGTGTGAAGTACAACCTTATCATCTTGTCTGATGAAGTCTACGACCGCCTCTTCTACGTCCCCTACACTAGAATCGCTACTCTGTCCCCAGAGCTGTTCGAGCGCACTTTGACAGTATGCTCCGCCGGAAAGGCTTTCTACGCCACTGGTTGGCGTGTTGGGTACCTTATCGGCCCCGAACACCTGATCAAGTACGTGGCCGGTGCGCACACCCGTATCTGTTACAGCAGTGTGTCCCCTCTGCAGGAAGCTGCTGCTGTTGCTTTCGAGCAGGCAGAAAAAGAGGGCTTCTGGGACGAGAGCCGAACAGACATGAAGGGTAAAATTGAGCGGTTCTGCGAGGTCTTTGATGAGCTTGGTATCCCGGTATGTGATTATTCACCCCTAACTGCCAAGTCTACTCTCCCATAGATTGATTTTGCTGACATCAATCCCTCCAGTACTCTGATCCCGAGGGTGGATACTTTGTGCTTGCCAACCTGGCCTCTGTAAAACTCCCGGCCGACTATCCGTTCCCGCCGCATGTTGCTAGCCGGCCTCGTGATTTCAAGCTTTGCTGGTTCCTCATCCATGAGGTTGGCGTGGCTGCTATTCCTCCCACTGAATTCTACACTGATGCCAACGCCCTCATTGCTGAGGATTATCTCCGCTTTGCGGTGTGCAAGAACGATGATGTTCTTGAGACTGCCAAGGAGCGTTTGAGAGGGCTGAAGAAGTATATCACCCAGTAAACAAAGACCTATAGGCCTTTCATATGTGAGAAGTGACGAGATATGCATAGAAGTGTTATGATGCCAATAGAAATAAAAATGCAACATATGTGCACAAAAACCAATTCTTTCTCGCAGGCAGAAGTGGTCTGTCCGATTGAGTCCTTCCCTATTTCGTGGTTCAGTCTCAATCACGTAGCAGTCATCATCGCTGGTGACATCCAAATTCGGCCCGAAGGGCTCGGCTTTATAAATATCTTCCCTTAATGATCAATCTACTAGTACATTCAGATTTACTCATGTACAGCTAATTCTACGTAACTTACAGCACCTGAGAACAAAGAACCAGGCACAGTAGGACAAAGGCACAAGCACACGACGGTCTTTGTTTCTATCTAGAAACAACGGAGGGGGCGATCAACTCCCCTCCATCCCGCCGCTACCACCGAAAGCGTAATACAAAAATGGGCATCCTGAACCTGGGGGGCATCCACCGACTGAACTGATAATATCTCTCTCCAAACCAGCCACCCCAGGTCCAGGACCCCGGTACAAACAATTAGGGCTAGGGAGGGGACGGCTCCCTACCCTGACCCCGGCATCTCCAGCTCCATGGGGCCCGTTCCCACCCCGTCCCAACCGATACCACGGCGGAATGTCCGCCGGTCCTCTGCAAGGACCCCCGGGAATCCTCCGCCACGCGTGCGAGCCACCACGTCGCTCACCGATGGATGGGTGGCTCGGTGCGCCCTCAGAATCCAATACTTGGATTCGAGGGATTCACACACTTTCCGGAAGCCCAACCCCATGTCATGGTTACCGAGCAACGTGGGGCGACGCTCGCTCGCGCAGATCAGATTCCCGCAGTGGCGTCGGTCGGCACCGATCCACTCCGTCTCACAAGCATGCCGCAATCCAAGACGGCTCTGATCGATGGCGCCACCCATCTCGAGTCCCATCTGGTAACGCAGCATGCTGTCCATGTCCTTGTCACTGGCCCACATATTGTGAGCCCGCATCCAGTCCCGGACAAGCCGGTAAAGATAGTCCACGAGGGCTGGATGTTCAATCGCCGCTGGAAGGGAAGAAGAGTTAGCATATGATCTGAAAGTTAGGCAATGGTGAGGGTTGTATGATATCAAAGTGCAAGGAAACAGAGAGCGGGGTGAAGCTGAAGGTGTAAAGGAACTCAAAGTGATATAAAACTTACCGAAGAGACAAATCGCAAGGCACCGGCGGAACCGGTCCTTCTCTTCGGCGTCCTCGAACCGCACAATATGTGCGATTCGAGGTGAACATCGCAGCTGCAGGTGACTGGCTGGATCGTCCTCAACCTTCACCAGGTCGTCCCACTCCGCGAACACGAAGTAGTCACCTCGGTCGCGGGCAGAACTGAACCACAGCGCCTGACGATGGCGCTCAGGTTTGTCCCACTGGTGAAGGTTGGGAAGCATTGGTGGACCCACGAGAAGGTCGTGAGAGATCGAACTGGCCAAGCACTGTTCCAGGACTGGGAGCTGCGTACAAACTACCCAGTGCCTCTTGGCATCCTCCCACAGGTGGTCCTTGCCGCAGTAGCGGACCAAGGAAAACGGTCCGCACTTAGGGCAAACAACGGAGACCCCATCCCCCAAACAACAGAGGACTTCGCAGAATGGCTCATGGCAAGTAACGCCGAGCGTGCGCAAGTCCAACAGTAATCCAGGGGGTGGGGCCCCGGTGTTGCCGAACTGCTTGGCTGTGGGAGTTAGTTCATTATCCTCAGACAACTCGGGTGGAGACGGAGAATAACCTTCCACTCCATTGACCTGAGAAGAAGCAGGAGAGACGGGGAGCTCGACGTCCGCATCGCGAGCTTGCTGACGCTTCATCAATTCCCGAAGCTTCCGTTTACCTTGCTTCTTCTTTTTGTATACAATCCTCTTGCCAGGTCGGCTAGACTCAGCTGAAGTTTGGTCATCTGGCTGGATGGCGCCATCTGAACTGGGGTCATCTGTCCCAAACCCAGCCGAGTCTGTGGTAGACAAGGCAGACGAGGCACGGGGGGTCAATGGAGGGTAGGTCGTTTGGGACGAGGATGTCATTTCCTGGCCCTTGTAGAGCCCTATGGTTCTCGGTTAGCTTGTATTTAAGTAAAAACATATAGAAAATGTGATTGCATACCTAGACTGGCCACACTGAAAGACTCACTTCGACGCAAGACTGGCTCCTGCGTCTCGTGATCGCCACGGTACTCTTCGGGGTCTAAACAATAGTCAGCAGGTGTATCAACAACGATATAAATAGTAGAGAGTTTACCAGAAAACCACACCTCGTCCCTGTTGTTCGAGACAGGGCACCGAAGCCCAGCCTCACCTCCCTGCGGAGTCAAGAATAGCTCATCCGAAGTCGCTGCTGGCTCGTTCTCTTCCGCTTTCACCGACTCTTCGCCATCATCCTCATCTATTCTCCACAAGGCGCTCGTAGGCGTGCAGAACGATGACATTGTGGATGAGGGGAGGGAAGTGCGAGGGGAGAGGTGGGTTCGAGCTGTCTCGAATGATGGAGACAATGAAGTAGTCAAGTCGTTGGGCATAGTAGGGAACGCGGGAGCGCTTATTGTTTGTGTTTGTTGGCCAGCAACTGCCGCAAGTTGCTGCTTAGCCGGGCCATCCTGTAGAGCGATGCCATGCACTCCCGGAAGTAGGTCGCCACGCTGGTCGCTGCCATGCTGGTCGCTACCACGTTGCTCTGTGATACGGTCTGTGATGCGGTCCGTAATATTATCTATGATGTGACCTGTGACACGGTCTGCATCCTTCTTTCCTGTGCTGGAGCTAGACAAACCAGGCATGCACTTTCCCTTTCCCTTACCCTTTCCCTTGCCCTTGTACCTCTTGTTGCTCTTCTGGGTATCAATCGTGAGTGTAGAGACCTTCTTGGCCAACTCTTTCTGGGTCGCCCCATGCTGGGCTGACTCTTGTTCAGTCAACTCATGCTGGGGCGACTCATTCTGGGTCGCCTCTGGATGGGTCGACTCTTGTTCAGTCAACTCATACTGGTTCAACTCATGGCTCAACTTATGCTGGGTCGCTTCTTCCTGGGTCGCCTCTTTCGGAGGCAAGTTTTGACTTCCCATTTTCTCCATCGTATGTTCTCGCCCTAACACTGACTGTTCTGGATGTGGCATAACTGACACATCTGGCTTTTCTTCCTCAGAGTTCTCTTCTCCGGCTGTGGAATGCTCGCGGAGTCTCTTTTGGGATTTCTTTGATGCCTTCTTCCCTTTGATCTTCTTCTGAATGGAGAAACGGGAAGTTTCATCAACAAGCAACTTGTTAAACAGTTTCTTGTCTATGTCTTTTGTCTTTGACATCAGCCATTGAATGCGCAGCCAAATCTGGACCGGATATGCCATCCATTTGCCGTAAGTGTTCTGTGATTTGTTAGTTAAACCCTAAAAATATCGATGAAATTCTTATACTGACAGGGTCTTTCTTAGAGATCTTTTGATAAAACTTGTCACGCTCATCAACGATGACCATCATCTGCTCCACCGGTCTTCCATTTCTACCACTCACGAACTTGAACTTCATGGTGGGCGACTTCTCTTTCGCTTTCATCCAGCTTACTCGGCAGCCGGATGTCTCCCATGGAGTTGTCCATTTGATATGATAATTATGTCTCTTCATGTTCTTTGACTCTCGAAGAGCCGGTGCGGGACCAGTCTCGATATTGCTCATGGCAATCCTTTTGGGGCACTCGAATAGTGCCTCGATCAAGCCCATAATCCCCATCATGCCGTCTGGGTAATTGGTGGGGATCCTGAAGTCAACGCGGATGATCTCGGAGTTTTCAATGACTGCCTCAAGGTCGCACTTGGGGTTACCATTGGGGTTATTCTCTATGGCAAATTTCGGGGCAGGGGTCCGCCAGTTGTGAATCTTCAGCCTCAACTGCCCATTCCCCAAAGTGAGCCCGGCCTGTCTATCCATCCAATTCTCTGACATGGGCTCACTTTGGGAAATGGGCATGTCGAGGTGTTCAAAAGGCTCTCTTCAGCCTCAGGTGGTTCTCGAGATTGTCAAGGAAGGTACCTCGCTGCAGGATGCATTAGTCAAATGCAAGGTGGGTAATCTGTCTTCACAAGATCGGTATTCGAGACCATGAGGGGATGTGATGACGCCTCCAAGACAGATTACTTACCAAGATGTGTCCTTGGGATACTGGAAAGCTGTGAGTCTGGTGTCACAGGAAATATTGTGAAAGCTATCTTGTATCATCAGCCAAGGTCCTTGCGCGTCAGTGAAGATCCAACGCGTGAAGCTGCACGACAACTTACTGTGTGAGTTTTCAAAGCGTCGATGGCATGCACTATGAGGTGAAATGAGCTTTTGTTCTCTGATACAATGGTGTTAATCTCTCAAAGAGATGGGGAGTGATATGCACGAACCAAAGCTATTGGGTTTGCGGGGTGGGAAGGGTTGAAAGGAAAAAACTTGGGAAGGGAACAGGATGGAGAGAAAGAACGACAACAAAAAAGGATAGGCTCTGAATTTGGACAAAGCAAAAAATGGCCCACCTTCGAGCTTCGACAACAATCAACAATGGATGCAAACAAACTGTGCACGTGCTACCGCCACTGAGCCTTAGACCGGTAATTGATACTGACCAGGCGATTGGGACAGAAATGAGGATACACACATGTAACTCATCCCACACAGTTCAAGGCATCTAAGCATAAGTTCAAAGCTCTTCGATGGTGTCTTAGAAGGCTCAGATTGCTACTATTATGCTGTGGCTCCAGAGCCTCATATTGAATCTGCTCCAGACCAGAAGATTATGTCGGTTTCCTGCCCAAAAGAATCAATACACAACACGGAGTATTGTATTGAGCAAACATCCCGATCCCACCTAAGAGACTTCCTTGTGATGCTAGCGTTATGTTCCTTCCACACCATTCAAGCTATCAGCGATAGCCCACGGGAGCAACTTCTGGTCGAAACTCAGCTACACTAAAACGAAGTCAAAGAACTGACATGGAGGCTCGGAGGAGGCTTCGCGACGCGAAACAAGCATGATGTCCTTCAGCTGGTCTTGCTGACTATAGGTCTCCAACAAGAGCAGCTTCTGCTCAACACCTGCCTTACACCAGAAACCAAAAAAGAAAAACTGACATGGAGGGTTCAAGACGCCAAGCAGCCATGTCCTCGACCTGAGCTTCTGCTCGATACCCAACTAAAACAAAAAGAGTTGTCGAAAAACTGACATGGAGGCTCGGAGGAGGATTCAAGAAGCAAAAAAAACATTTCCTTGAACTACATTTATCATCTCTTAGCTATAGGTTTAGGAGGATAGTTTCATATCTGAGGCGAATGGTGCTTATTGTCAATCTTCCTTCCGTAGAAGTCCCGGAAACACACCTGAAGCATACTCCTTGAGAAGAGATTGAAAAATATACCACGGAAGGCTAGTAGAGTAATCATAGATTATTGTTGTATTATACATAAACAAAACCCAAGAGGTCAATTGGGAGCTCACCTTCTTGTCATGTAATTCAAAGCATGCGGCTGCAAGTCGTTAGGGTGCGAGTCTGTCACGTGTGGTCACGTTTCTTACCGACTCGGTGAATATCACGTGATGCTTCTCTTTCAAGGCGACCACAAGTCGAATAAGCACTATTTCACACACTGTACCCCTTGGTGGACTGACTAAATAACCCATTATTACGATGGAACATATTGCAATATGATTACTTATCGTTCGATTACCAAAAGTTGTATACATGGAATGTATGCTCTGCACTTGAGTGGGCGAGTCTATGCATCCATTCACACCAAGTCACCGATGTTGAGCGGCAACAGCCATAGCAGAGACTAACCCCATAGAAATGCCAACAACATACGTCTCATCTACCTACATGACACAGGATAAAAATATCCGTACGGGGTACAAACATGATGTTAGATCAGCCAGCCCTCGCTGTCCGGCTATTGGCTCTCAGTCGTGGGCGGCTAAGCGCCCATGGAGGCTATATTTGGCTGCCTGTCCACTCCGGCGCTTTCGACACTCACAGTAGCCAGTGAGATGCTTTGATACTTCATGAAACAAACCGTTGCACAGATACCTTGTCTTCAGGCTTTATTTTTATATTTTCTTTGTTTCGAAATGGTTATGGTTCACTCTGATTGGGGCTGTCTTGACTATACGGGGTTGCCAAGGTCCATCAAGCTGCTTCTTTATGAGCAACATTGGGCTATTGTGATGTCTGCTGCCGCCCAGGATGTCTGACAATTTCCAGGTGACGTTTGTTGCCTGCTATATTTGAAGATTCATTGTCCCTTGTTTTATTCTGATTCTATTGTTCTCAGTCCACCCGGTCTATTCATCTATTGATGTCCCCTTTCATTCAACGTCTACAAGAAATCATATATACCATGTCCTTCCACTAGCTCGGCTTTCTCCTCTGCTCTCTTTATCCTCTTTTGAGAAATCTCCATTTTGATGCAGGCTTTGCATATTTTTCCTTGATCCAATTACGCCTCCAAACATTCCTGGTCCTCGCTGGACGATACCACACCTGAAACATTTGACAAACAGAAAAAAAAGAATCGTTACAATGGTATTCACCCGAACCGGTCGGTCGGTCTTTCCACTGCTCCCGCCTTATGGGGCTCACGATTCAAGCACGGGGCGGATAATTCCTCTACATCCAGATGGCCTCACTCCCTATCTCGGTCTGCGAGCTCGGCTTTCACAAGTATGGATCAATCGATGGACAATACTTCTACTGCTTGTTCTCTTCCGCGTGTTGATTGCAGTTGGCGACTTGCAGTCCAACATGGCATCCGCCAAGCGTGAGGCGCTCTCTGCATGCACGTCGGTGGAGTCTATGGGTAGCGCGATGGCTTCAATGCCCTACTACCTATCCAAGGGTACCAACGAGCTTGTGGCTTCCTCGGTTGATGAGGCTGTTTCCGCCCTGAAGTCCGTGTTGTTGCTGACTATCACGGGCGTCGGGGAGATTCTCTGGTTCGTCATCAATATGATGTACTCCACCTACGCCTGTCTCATTACGATGGCCGTCCGTGGCACGGTAGGAGCGGGCATTGAATTGATCAAGGAAGCTACTGAGTGGATCAACAAAACCCTCACGACAATCAGTGGTGACATTGAGAGTACCGTGGACAAATACAAGGACGAACTCAACTCATTTCTCGAGACAATCAATAAAGTGGCCAGCGTATTCTCGGACGATCCTAGTCCAATCGACCTCAACAGCTCAATCACTACGCTAGAGAATCTGTCTCTTCCGTCGTCAGTCAACCGGACGGTCGAAAAATTAGACAGCCTTGTCCTTCCCAACTTCAAAGAGATCCAGAATTACACCAAGACTCTCTTCGAAACGCCCTTTCAAGAAGTCAAAGATTTGGTAAATGAAACTTTGGGCACTTACAGTTTTGATCGGTCCGCTCTCCCGATCCCTGCCAAAAAACAATTGACTTTCTGCAACGACAACAAAGGAATAAATGATTTCTTCAACGGAGTCACTGCGTTGGCACTAAAGGCACGCCAAATATTCATTATTGTTCTCGTCATTGCTGCCATATTGGTGTGCATTCCAATCGCATGGCAAGAAATCCGCCGATGGCGCTCAATGAAAGAACGCTCCCAGTTGGTTCGCAGGGAAGCCCACGATCCAATGGACGTTGTCTATATTGTCTCACGGCCATATACCGCTGCTGCAGGCATCAAGGCAGCAAGCCACTTCAGTAACAGCCGGCGGCAGATCCTCGTGCGATGGGCCATTGCCTATGCAACATCCATGCCTGCTCTTTTCGTACTGGCTCTTGCATTAGCAGCATTATTTTCTTGTCTGTGCCAATACCTGCTCCTGCACTCGGTGAAGAAAATCGTTCCCGCACTGAGTGCTGAGGTAGGAGAATTCGCAGACAAGGTCGTGGACGCACTGGAAAGCGCCTCAACAGATTGGGCTACCGACGCAAACAAGGCCATCACTAACCTCGACACCGACCTCAACCACAATGTCTTCGGCTGGGTGAACAGCAGCACGCAGGCCATAAATGGGACTCTCAACTTCTTCATCTACAATACATCCAGCGTTCTAAACGAGACCTTCAAAGGCACCCTCCTGCAAGAGCCCGTCTACGAGCTATACGAGTGCCTCATCGGCCTCAAAGCAGAGGCCCTCCAAAAGGGTCTGAACTGGGTAGCCGAGCACGCACACATCACCCTTCCCACTCTCCCGAATGATACATTCTCCGCCGGTGCCGCCTCCAGCATCAACGACACCTCCAATCCCTCCGATAGTTTCCTCGCCGATGCAGGCGATCAAACAGCCAACAAAATCACCGAGGTCGTCATCAGCGTGATCAACAAACTGGAAGCAGGCCTGCGAATCGAAGCCATCATCGCCACCATCATTCTCTTACTTTGGGTATTCATCGCCTTGATTGGTATAACTCGCGCTATGATGCTTTTCTGGACCCGCGACAAACACCGCGGCGAGGGAGGCAAGGGTCATATCCTAGATCCTGTGCCTAGAGGCGGACCACCACCCCATGATGCGAATGGGTTTGCTGAAGTTCCACTCACTGCTATTCCGAGGAATATGTCTGCGGATGGACACATTGCTCCCCAGTATACGGCGGCGGCGGCACCCCCCGTGCCAGTGCGGAATGAGCCGTCGTCATATGGTAATGAGAAGGTTGGTTTTGCAGGGGAAAGGGCGTTGCAGTTGGACTCGGGTCCTGATCTGAGGGGAAGTAGCTATGTTGAATATGATGTGAAGCGATGATGGGAAATATATTCCTGTCTTCTTCCATCTTTTTTTTGATCTTCGCTGTTCTCAATAGGACTATGTTCTTTGTCCTCCCTCTGTCTTTGTGGCATCTCCAGCATTTCATTGGGCTTGCCTTGGTTATTTGTTTCTATATGTGGGGTGTTTTCTGTCATAATAATTCCCAGTAGAATATTTAAAATCAAGAATGCCACTTGGTTTCAAAAATATGCA